TAAAAATGTCTCCAGACATTGCCAGATGTCCTTGGAGGGGAGAGGGCAAAAATGGCTCTGGTTGAGAACCACAGCTCTACAATCTGTACTGCTTGCCACAATACTGTGCTATAACCTATCTCTTATATTGGAGAATCAACAGCTGCACTTAATGGAGAAAGGGGTAAACGCTACTGGAGAGGGCAGAATCAGAGCGATCACAGATGGAACAGTACATTGAGAAGCTGGATGTTGCAGAAAACAAGGAACAAGAATGCATTGCTGAGACTTCTGGTAAGATGGAGGACTAGGCAGACATGCAACACAGACCCTCTTTAACAAAGAAAAGAAAAACCAATCGACAGAGATACAGAAGATAATCCTGGAGCCCTGTGCTTTCAAAGGAACTATGCAGAAGTGGATTAGGCACCAACTAGTGGAAAAATCTGAACGAAAACAGTGAGTACAGAGATGGTCGGAGCTTCAGACTGTCAGCTCCTCTGATGGAACCAACAGCCTGAATATTTCCAAGTGGTATTGGGACCTGAGAATTGAACTAAAGATCAACCCTGGTCACCAAGGGCTGCAGAGACGACTGCACTGGTGGCCTATGACTAGGAAGGGAAACAGCAAGGAGGCAGACAACATGAGCTGTTGACTTTCTGCTGTCCAGAGGGTGCAGCCATTTTGATTGTTTACACAGGCAGCCATTTTGGATATGTAAAGTGACCGATGGCCATTTTGAATCTTTACAAGTGGCAAGCATTTTGGATTTTGCATTCTCATTTGAATTCCAGGGACCTAAGAATAGGCTCTGTTTCCCAAGGCTGGCAGGGACATATGAGAGGCTGACAACAGGAAAGGAGAGAAATGGTGAGTGTGTAAGTGCTTTCAACTAGAGAATAGAGGAGCACAGTACCCTGCTTGCATAGATAACATACAAAGAAAACAAAAATTGTGGGCAAGTCATTCCAACATACAATCACCAATTAAATATAAACACAAAAACGTCACAATGCCTCAGAGACAACAGAGCATCACAGTCCACACAAAGAAGCAAGATAAAGCAGGAGAAACAAGGGACCAGGATTATAGACCCAAAACATATCCCTGAGGAAGACGCAGCATTGGAACTCCCTGATAAGGAATTAAAAAGAATTATATTTAGGTATCTTCAATGAATTGAGAGACAGATCAAGAGAAACACAGAGAAAAACCTAGAATGATTTCAAAAGACAATATAAGAACAAAATGATAAAATAAATGAAAAATTAGAAATGATACAAAATCTACACACAGAAATCCAGAAGATTAGTACTAAATTGTCAGAAATAGGTAACACATTGAATGGGCAAAGGAGCAGAATTGAATCAATGGAAGACAGAATTAGGGAGATTGAAGACAAATACCTGAACACTTCCTTGGAAATGGATCAATCAGAAAAAAGATCAAAATAGAATGAAGAAAGCCTAAGGTTCATGTGGGATATCTTCAAAAGGAATAACTTACATGTAATCGGAATTCCAGAACAGGAAGAGAAAAATAAAACCATAGAGAAAATTGTCCGAAGACTTGTTGGAAGAGAATTTTCTTGGTATGGTGAAAGATGACAATATATCCATTCAGGAAGTCCAATGAACCCCAAACAGGATAGACCCCAAAAGAAAATCACCCATTCATATCATCATCAAACTTACCAAAACCAAAGACAAAGAAAGAATCATGAGAGCACGGGAAAAATGAAAAGTTACCTACAAGGGGGAACCAATAAGTCTAAGCTTGGATTTCTCAACAGAAACCATGCAAGCGAGAAGACAATGGTGTGGTACATATAAAACCATGAAAGAGAAAAATTTCCAACCAAGAATTATGTACCCACCAAAATTGTCCCTCAAATATTACGGTGAAATTAAGACATTTCCAGATAAGCAGAAATTAAGGGAATTTGTTAAAACCAGACCAACCTTACAAGAGATGCTAAAGGGAGCCTTTTGGACAGAGAAGCAACAACAGCCAACAACAACTGACCATTAACACACATGATGATATAACCCAGAAACCAACCCAGCTATGGAAATATCCAAAGTAAAGAAGCCTACAAGATTGTAAACTGGGAACCAGAGACATCAATTGACAAATGACGACAACTACAAACCAAAAAGAGGGAAAAAACTGTCGTTACAGAACTTCTAGAAGGTAGGGAAGTCACGACAACTACAACATAGAACAGACTGTTCTAAATTTGGGAAGAAAATTATAAATCACAGGGTAACCTTAAAGAAAATGATAAACCTTCACATCAAAAAAGAGGACCAGCATAAATATTCAGCACATACTAAAATAATAGCAATGAAGGAAGTGATAACATGACTCATAAACAAAACAAGCTCAGCATAGAAAATTATATGGAACAAAGAAACCACAAAAAAGCACATAACAAAAATGACAACTAATTCATATTTGCTGATAATTACATATCTGGCAAGGGACTTATCTCTAAGATTTGTAGCAGAAGAGTGGATGACCAAACTATGGTACATACACATAATGGAATTTTATGCAGCACTAAAGACTAATTTAGAGTCTGTAAAACACCGCATAATATGGATGAACTTGGAGGACATTATGCTGAGTGAAATAAGTCAATCACAGAAGGACAAATAAAGTATTAGTTCATTGTTGTGCAGGGTCAAGGAAAGGTTTATATATGGAAGGAAACTTTCTTTGTTGGTTACTATGGTAGGGAACACTGCAAAAAAAAAAAAATGCATTGACCCATGTCACTTTAGTTGTATGTATTTCACTGTACATAAATTATATTTCAATAAAATGCATTTAAAAAAAAATTTAAAAAATGAGGAATGACATCATGGGAGTTGATGGAGACAAAGAAGATGGCAAGAAAGATATATGAGAAAAATATTTGCAAGAAAGAATAGGACCAGGGCCAGATTCAAGGACATGTGACCAGTGCAGTCTTCTGCACTCAGAGGGGCCTGGTGTTTCATTTACTGCTCTACTGTCATGCTCTTGAAATTCTTAATAATTTTATCTTTGGAAAAAAAAAAAAAAAGAATGCATTGCTAATCGTAGAGAGGCAGTTTAGAAGTGGGAGGGGTTGATGTCATAATGTGAGGAAAGAAGGCGAGCTCCATGTGCCCAGCTGTTGACTCTAGAGGAAGGAAAGACAGATTACCAACATTTGAGGTCAGTGAAGTGTCTGTTGTCTATTGTCCCATGAGGTAGCCACTAACTACATGCCCTTAGTAAAATTAGTTAATCAAAATTTAAAAATTGAGTTCCTTAGTTACACTAGCCACATTTCAACTAGGTGTTCAAAGTATTATTTTATTATTATTTATTAGTACAATTACTAATTTCCTCTTGCAATGAAAAGCCATACTTGAGGAGACACTTAAGATCATACAGATATCCTGCTTCTCATCAAACATTCCTTCCACATCTAGCATTCAGTGATGATTCTTGCCTGAATCAGTCTTTACACTGATGGTTGAAAATCCTTTTATACTTTTATAGTTATAGTTCATCTACCCAGAAGAGATTAAACACAGAGAGAAGGTTGCTTATGTGAATTAGACTATGGTATGTGGCAAGGAAAAATGTTATAGTGGGATTAATTTATATAAAGGAGCCCTGATGATGCTGTGGTTAAGTGCTTGGCTGCTAACCAAAAGGTCAGCGGTTTGAACCCATAGCTGCTCTGTAGGAGGAAGATGTGGCAGTCTTCTACTGTAAAGATTTACAGCCTTGGAAACCCTATGGGGCAGTTCTACTCTGTACTATAGGGTCCCTATGAATTGGAATCGACTTGATGGCAACAGGTTAAATCTACATAGATGGTCAGCTGATTTAGAATTTTTTTTGCTTCCTTATACAATCTTGTAATTGTGGAGATCCAGCTAATAAATTACTTAGGTAAGAAGGCCTAACTCTAGTTTATTTCAAAGTACTTAATATCTCTGATTCCTGTCACCTGAAAATGGAAATAATTCTTCACCGATATGTGGTAATTATTGTATGAACTGATGTAAAAGTAACTGACACAGGACAAGGCACAAAGACTTAAACAGCCTGTGATGGTCTCCTTCTCCCTTGTGGAATTGGCCCCAAGGAGGCAGAGAGAGACATACCTGGTAAAGAGGGTAGCATTGGCAGATAGACTAGAGCAAGGTAATCAGAAGCAGACCCATTTACAAGGACAAGGACTGCAGGCCGCCGTCAAGGGAAAGTCAGCTTTCTTAAAAGGCAAGGTGCTAGAAAGGGGGAGGAATATCTAGAACGAGAACTCTATTCTCATGGAATGGCTCCTCTCTCTGGCTATAGTAGAATATAGAAGATGTGGAGGGGTAAGACCAGAGACAAGCCAAGTGAAGGTGTCTGATGGGGGCCTCAGGACGGATGCATGAAAGGTGAAAGGCAGATACCTGCAGTGATCATTTTAGAAAACATGCCAGAAAGACATATCCAGCTTATGGAACCAGATTTGAGGTTGGTGTGATCATTAAGCAGACAACAGCAAGTACTGGACAATGTACTTGGGGTGATGATATTAAGGGGTTCCAGCAGTGTGAACAAGAGCTCTGGTGGCGTAGTGCCTAAGGCATATGACCGCTAACCAGAAGGTTGGAGGTTCAAACCCACCAGCCACTCCTCAGAAGGAAGGTTGGGCAATCTACTTCCATAGTGATACCACCTCAGAAACCCAAGGAGGTGTCGCTATGAGTCGGATCTGGCTTGATGGCAGTGCATTGCATTGTAGAGGTGTGAACATTGAAAGTGAGAGCACTAGCTGAGGGCTGATCCCTCATGAGGGTGCTGGGTGGCTTTCTTTATCCATATAAACTTTCCATGTGGCTCAGAGCTATGGACCCCACCATACCCATCTCTTCCCTGGAGTTCAGGCCTCTCCCTCTAGCCTTCCCTCAAGGCCTGAGCAGAATTCTGTTGTTATAGGAGTCAGTAACCTTCGAGGATGTGGCTGTGTACTTCACCTAGGACCAATGGGCCATCCTGGACCCTGTGCAAAGAGCTCTGTACAGGGAGGTGATTCTGGAGAATTATGCAAACGTGGCTTCCCTGGGTAAGGCCTCCCTTCTCTCTGAGACCCAGCTTCTGCCCAGTCTCCTAGCTTCTTAATTAGAGGATCTGAGGTCTCTAATACCACCAGGTTTGATGTTTCATGAGCTAAGCTCCCCATTCTCCAATTTGGGGTAACCCCTTTGGTTTTAAACAGGACTGCCCTATTCTCTGTTTGCTGATGAGACTCTCCTAGGAGAGACTTTGCTCTGGGAACAGAGGGAATTGAGAAGGTTCCTGATGTCCCACCTTCAATTCTCTATTCTCTCAGTTCTCTGGTGGGAGATCTTGTCCCTTCCTCTATGTGTAAGAGTTTCCTAGGATCACCATGCACATATCTCCAGAGACTGTCAGAATAAGCTTCCTCCTGAGCAAAACAATTTGAGCCCTTCCTTAGCCCCGCAGATTCTCTGCTTACTGGCCTTACTTAGTCTCTTGTTCAGGACAAGCTAATACTACCTAATTTTACCCAGTAAAGCAGAGGGTAGCCTGAGAGGGCTTGAGAGGTTACCTATAGGTGACTTTCCTCACCTTCCTATTCCTCTTCTTTCTCCTTTAGCAGCATTTCTATCCACCAAACCAGATCTGATATTCCAGCTGGAGCAACAAGAAGCACCATGGGGCCCAGATCCCTGGAAACTGGTTGGGATAGAGTCCCTGAGAGGTGTTTGAACAGGAAAGCAGGAGAACATAGGCATCTTTCTTTCCAACTTTGCCTTCTCCTTTGTTTGTTTGTCATTGTTTCTTAATTTTGTTGTTGGTGTTGTTGTTGAGAATATATACAGCAGAACATATACCAATGCAACAATTTCTACATGTGCAATTCAGTGACATTGATTACATTTTTAAAGTTGTGCAACCCTTCTCACTCACCTTTTCTCAGTTGTTCCTCCCCCATCAACATACTGTCACTGCCCCAAGTTTCCTATCTAAACTTTTGAGTTGCTGTTATCAGTTTGGTCCCACATAGATCTTAAAAGAGCACAATGCTGTAGATATTTCTACATACATATTTGTATGTGCTATAATGTCCAGGAGCTCTGGTGGTGTAGTGCCTAAGGCACTTGACTACTAATCAGAAGGTTGACAGTTCAAACCCACCAGCCACTACTCGGAAGGAAGGCTGGGCAATCTACTTCTGTAGTGACACTGCCTCAGAAACCCAAAGAGGGGTCGCTATGAGTCAGAGATGACTCGACGGTACATAACAACAGCAACGTAAGAATGTCCATATATATAATAGAGTTAATGAGGCAAAGTTACGATAGCTTGTTATTGTTGTTGTTATGTGCCATCGAGTCAGACCCGACTCATAGCGACCCCTCCTTGGGTTTCCAAGGCAGTATCACTATGGAAGTAGATTGCCCAACCTTCCTTCTGAGGAGTGGCTGGTGGGTTTGAACCGCCAGCCTTCTGGTTAGCAGTCAAGTGCCTTAGGCACTATGCTACCAGAGCTCTCCCATGATAGCTTCTTTGCCACAGCCAAACACCCTGAGGGAGAGAGTCACTAGGCCACTAGCTCCAGACCATGGTGTTGGGGGATAGCCGTATAAGGTGAACATTTACACCAAGTAGGTACACTCCTTAGAACAATCAACCATAGGAAATCAGAAGGGCAATATTTGTACAGGGAGATAGCTCATAGGGCTCATTTACTACACAAAAACATTGTTGTATATCTTACATTGGAGAGTAGCAACTGGGGTCTTAAAAGCTTGCAAGCAGCCATCTAAGATGCAACAATTGGTCTCTCCTCATTGGGATCATAGAAGAATGAAGAAAACCAAAGACATACGGAAACAATTAGTCCAAGGGACTAGTGGACCATGTGAACCTCAGCCTACATGACCCTCTGACCAGAAGAACTAGATGGTACCCAGCTACCACTGTCAACCACTTGGAAAGGGATCAAAATATAAGATCCTGGACAGAGTGGGAGAAAAATGTGGAACAAAACTCAAAATCATAAAAAAGAACAGGCTTACTGGTCTGATAGAAACTGGTAAAATTTCTGAGACTATGGCCCATAGTCATCCTTTAGGCCTAGATTTGAACTCACTCCCATGGCTTTCAGCCAAACAACAGACAGGCATATAAGGTGAACATTTACATCAGGTAGGTACATTCCTTAGAACAATCAACCATAAGAGATCAGAAGGGTAGTATTTACACAGGGAGATAGCTCATAGGGAAGACAGAATGTATAGGAAAGAAGGACATATGGAAAAGGTAACCATAGGGAGGAAGTAGGAAGAGAGCTGTTACATTACAGGGATTGCAATGAATGTTATGAAACAAAATGTGTATGAACTGATAAATGGAAAATGAATTTGCTTTGTAAACTTTCACCCAAATCA